TCCATTTCCCACAACAACTTGAGTTTAGGCATCCAATGAGAAACATCTTTAATTTTGGAATAGATCAGAACTCTGATGGTGCCATATCTGGGCTCTGAGGAGGGTATAGAATAACCTGTGACTTAAAGTTCTTAATCATCTTTGCTGTTTCTTTATTGTAGTGTAGTCTTGCATTATTATGACGTAAGAAAAACAGATTTTTTTCTGCCTTATTCTGTAAATATGTCTTAAGTTTTATGAAATTCTTGGCGCACATTTTTTTATGCAATTATTTTAAATATAATCATCCAATAACCCAATTTTCATATTAAATGCCAATTATTTTAAATTTAGAAGAATTCTTTCCACTTTCTGAAAATTCAACAATGTCCTTTTAACTGTTGGTAATGGAGTTTTGAATTTTCTATTACTACTATAAATTCAAAATCTCTTTTGTTTGTATCGCATTTTTTGTCATAATTTATTCTGCTCTGGCAAAATCCAATATTTCACTTTATCAGAAACATATTTCTCTTTACAATAATTATTCAATTTTCTCAATTATTGCACATACATTATGACATAAAAGTTTAAAATAAATTAAAATATTTAATTTCTAATTATATATTTACATGAACTAATGATAAGTGTATTATTATCTGATGAAGTCATCAGATAATAATGATTTCGTCTTATGTTTCTTCAAAACATAAGAAGAAATCATTTTCTGTTGAGTAAGCAATGAGAAATTAACTTTTTCAGTTTCTGTAATATAATATCCAAATTCAAATTTCCTGGTCTGCAGTTATCTTTTAATGTTATTCTATACATACATTTAAATATAAATATAAAAAACACTATTTGTGATGAGCTATGACTTTGACAGGTAGCTGCAACAAAGACCATAATGTCGTGCGAGATCAAATCCAAACAGATTAATAAAAATATTTGTTACCAACAAACATAAACAAAATTCTTAATTGTGTATTGAGATAAAGATATATATGTTTTAGAAATAATTTTAAAAATTTTTAAGAGACTGTAAAATTATTCAATTGTATTAACAAAATGAGCATTTTAAAATAAATGTAAATAATAATACATGATATCTGTAATTTCCTAAGTTTTTAAAAATCACAAAATGAAAATTTTTACACTAATACTTTGATACTACTTCATTTATCTGGATCGATTACTTCAGATTTTGAGTTCATCCACATTAATCCTAGTAAAAATTACTAAGATTACAAACTTTTAAGTATTAGTGACTTAAGTGTCAAGTATAATCCCATACAAAGTAATACAAGAATTTCTGATACAAAAGTCAAGACAGAAAACGAATCACTTCCATGTAGAGAAAACTTCCATCCACTTTGAAATAATAAAAGAAACAATCCAACTGTCTCAATGTGATATTGATAACTAAATTATAGTAAGGGCAATACTGGTGGTAGTAATACATCTATTCAAAATTGTAGAATTTTGTTTCAATAAAGCTCTTAGAACTATCATTATAATGTAAAATTTCATGTCTTGCCATTCTCTAAAAAAAAAAAAAAACAGTAAGACATTTCAGTTTAAAAATAAGAAGTTCCAGTTGGACCTGAAACAAACTAGGAAATGTACTCGAAAACATTCACGAACCATCTGCTATCCTGCTGGAAAAGTACTTAGATTAACCTTTTTGAACATCAATAAAGACTATTATTGAAAGTTGCAAAAATGAGCACATACAATCAAACAATATCTGTACATTTGTGATTATACCACAGCTAGTTGAAAGGTTCTATCAAGATTCTGCTTCTTGTGGACACACAGTAACAGCTATTAAAAATGATGATTCACCTAGAGATATAGTCTTGAAAGGAAGTTTCTGCTGTTATGTGATTTCTTTGAAGTGAACAAATATTTTTGACCAACTTATTGGCAACAGGTTATACAGAGAATGTGTTATGAACCACTGTAATGTTGCAAAAAAGCAAAAGAGTTCTTGAAGATAAAATTGATATTTATGATAAAAAGAAGAGTGAAAGATCATGTACTTCTCAAAAATAGAAGTCATTTTTTTACAGATAAGTTTGTTGTAAGCACCAACAAACTTATTTGTTAAAAACACTATTGACTGCATTATTTTGTCATAGTCATGGATATCAGATATGGAATACAGATAGCTTTGAAAGAATAATTCTGAGTGCAAAGCTCCACACTCTTTGCACAGAGCACACAAAAACTGATATCACATTATGACAAATACATGTATTTTCATGTATTCATGTCTGAACTTATTCTGCAAAAGTTTTGACACATTCCTTGCTTTCTGTACTCCTAAGATCGCTATTACTTTATTTTTTGTATATTTTTGTGTATCTCTCACTTTCCTAAAAACTTCCTAAATATATGTACAAACTAACTTGCAAAGAAATGACTAATAGAAATAGATTTGATATTGCTATAATATTTTATCAATTAAAAAGTTCTATAAAAAATTTTTTTGACTTATTAGATAAGTAAACTTTGAACTACAGAAAACATTTACTGAATAGAATAAACAAAAATCTCTGCAGAGTACAATAATGATAAACAATAATAATTAATTTTGTGATTAATAATTATCCAAATCATCTAGTGGCATCTGGATATCAAATGTTGCTGATCTCAGACTCAAGTTTCAACAAGAGCATGTGTACTGTCTGAAAAATTAACGAAAACAATTGAAGAATTACAAAAATGTGTGTGAAATAACCTTTCCCCGACATAACAATCACTCTTTGGTTATTCAAAATAATTTAAATAATTTTAATATATCAGGTTTTATATGTTAAGATATTAGATTATTTTATGTAATGGGATGATTGTCCAGAAAAATGTTCCAAGATATGTAATGCAAGAGATACATATTCTTCAAAATAACTTCATTGGATCACTTCTTGTTTTGGTTTTTATATGAATATTTGTGCAAAATTTAAAACAAAAAGTACATCCAAATACAATTTAGACTTAATAAATTTAAAAGTTTAACTCTATTCATACTAAACCAATGAGAACAATCTTTTATACTCAAAATACTGTAAGCAGAAATATTAAAATTTCCAGACCTTACTTTTTGATATCACCAAAATATACTTATCAAAAAAGAAATCAATCTCTAGCTTTCAAAAATTGGAACAGTTTGCTATCAAATATTAAAACATTTGACTAACTTTACAAATTTAACTGTACAATATTTATGATACATCAACTGCAGCAGAAGACCTAGTAATTATACAACTGTTTTCCCATATGCTACTTGAGAAAACAATTTTATAATTGTTAGGTCTTCTATTTTCTATTTCTTAATTATGTGATTTTGATAAATATTTTCTGTAATTCAATTATTTTTAAAATCACCTCAATACTGGGTTTTCAATTAGTAACTCAATCAAAATATCCAGTTAATAGAGAATAATCATATTTCAATTGGAATTCCTGGAGAAAGCAGCTCATTAAAATGAAAAGTGATGATTTTTAATTCTGCTAAGTCCAAAATATTGAAAGTCATATATCAGTATAAAAACAAAAATAATGTAATAGTACATGGTGATGGTGGTAATATTGTCCACCATGTTAGCAAATAGTTTTTGTAATCTACTTATTTCTAGAATATTTATTAAAATTGTTATTGTTTCTATAATGTAAGATATTTTACAGATCATACAGTAACTATATCACAAAGGTCATATAATACACGTTTTTAAAATGCATGTTTGAGATATAATTTTTTTTTTTTTGAAAACTGACAATAATGTCAAATTATACCAGGGTTGTCCAACCTTTTTTTCCTTACAGGCCAAATTAGAAATTTATGTATATTCAGCAGGCCATAGAGGTACCTTATATAAATATATGCTTTTAAAAAGTTCAAAATATCAAGTTTTGAACTTTTTAAAAATGAATATCAAATTTTAATAACAAATATATATAATTACAAAAAATACTGTATTATTGACAGTAACACAAAATTATTTGTGTTACTGTCAATAATTATACTAACACAAAATAAAAATAAATTCAATGCGATTTTTGACAATGCCTTCCTTTCATAATATTGTCAATATCTGCTTTTATGGTACTAGTCTTAATTCTAAGAATGTTAGTTAAATGGGAATCACTCAACCTATTTCTTTCAGTAGTTTTGATGTTTTTCATGCACAAAAAGAATTGTTCACAACAGTATGTTGTGAGCAATTCTTTTTGTGTGTTGTGAACAATTCTTTTTGTTCACAACATACAACAGTATGTTGTGAACAAACAGTTTTCTCTAAGCAAGCATTAAATGATGAAGTATTTTAATTTAATATAAAAAACTACCAGTAATTGCTTGTACTTGATTTTGTGTTGTGTTTTGAAAAAATACACCAATCAATGGATTGGTTTACTTTTTCAAAACACAACACAAAATCAAGTACAAGCAATTACTTTCAGCTGCAATTTTAAATTAAATTTTAATTTAAAAATAAGCTCTCTGTATTTGGTCTTAATTTTCATTTATCTCTGTTCTCAAGAAAACTTTTGTGTTGAAATTATATGACTTTCAGTCCAGACCTAAAGCTTATATACAGTTAATTGGGGCCTCTAACAACTAAGCTTTCCATATCTAATCTCGATTTTCATCTATCTAACTCTATCATCAAGATTAATGAAGGATGGACAGATTAGATGGATGATAGTAAGAATGTGTAGGTCTGCAATTTGAAAGTTGTAGTCCAAAGTAAGCATAGGACATTTTAAACACTTCTTGTAACATTAAGGATACCTTTTCAAAAATTCATGTGTTTTTATAATTTTTTATTTGCAATAAATATGCAACTGTTTTTCTATTTTTTGAAATAAATAATCTTCATTAAAACTTTATATGTGATTTAAGAACAGTTTATTTTTAGATATACTTTTACCATACTTATTCTAATCCTTTACAATACAATATGCTATAAATTTTTTAAAATCTTTCTGAAGGAGCTGTATATAATTTAAAAACTTTTTACCTTTATTATTTCAGCATTTGCTTCTTTCAGTTTTCTTTTATACCTCTGAACTTCCCCTTTCAATTGATGGTTGTGGCTTTGCAAGCTAGTAATCAATTGGCGCATTTCTCTGTTTATTGGTCCTAAATAAAAAATTATTATTTATTCATATTGATTTAATTAAAATATAGTCACATAAAGTAAAAATTAAAGATAATTATAAAATTTGGCAGTTTCAATCCTATTTTATTAATATTATTACATTAAAGTGAATTTAGTAATTATTAATTTTATTAATTAAAAATCATATACTTTGTGAATCACAGTTTCCCTGGAAAATTTATAATAGATATATCACACAAATATATACTATTGATATATATAGAGAATATTCACAAATATATACTTAAAACATTCAGTATTATTTAAAACATATTATATTATATTACATAATTATTTGCAGTCAAATCCATTTATATGTTTTCCAAGGAAACTGAGAAACTAAGTGAGAAAAATGTACAAGTGAAACTACTTTTGAATTGCTTTCAAAATGAATATAATCAGAAAATTATGTGGCACAAATAAACATTGTACATTCGAATTTGTATGTGTAATTTTAATAAAGAAGTTTCAATTTATTATATGTGTAATGCATTTTAACAAAATATAAAAGGAAAATAACAGTGTGAATTAAGTCATGTACAATTAAGAAATTGATTAAGTTTTGTTTGTTTCTTGTTTTTTTAATGAACTTGTTATATATTGCTACAATATGTGACATCAGTTGTCTCCAGCTCTTCCAAAACTCCAATCATGTTAAAGAAAGAAGTTATTCTAAATGTTAGATCACATTCAGTGAAAAGTGAAAACAATGAAAAACCAGAAAGTAACTTTTATTCACTTAGTGAATAAGAGTTCACACTATAAAACATGGAAAGTGAAAATTTTTAACATGTTCAACAGACAGAACAATTTGCTAAATGTAAAACGTCAGTAACATGTATTATTTGCTGTTTTTTGTATTTACTGATAATTTACTGTTAGTAGGGACTAATCAGAAGTAAATACATAATTTACTTTTTTCACTCTTTTTAATAATTGCTTTAAAAGTGAACAACACATAAGTTAGAAAAAAGTATCATAAAGTATCAAAAATATGATGTATAAAGAAAATTGTATACATGAAAAATATAACTGAATTTTTTATATTAGATAAAGTATCATACAGAAAATACTTAACATATAATTGTAAAAAATTAAAACTGAAAAACATTTAAACAAGATCCAACTGTACATTGCTAAATACAAACTTTATTAGATTGTAAAATCTCTTATGTGTATAACAGATTTTACAACCTCTGTATAAACTAATAAATTATTTATTATTATAAATTAGCATGTAATTATTAATATGAGAGCCCTGACTTGATGAAAAATTTTAATCAAAAATTTTTTGAAGGAGAAAAGTTAGAGAGAAGGATTAAAAATTTACCTACAGACTTGTTTCCTTGTTTGAGGTGACATATCAAATGTGTCACCTGGAACCGACAATTGAAATTCAACAATTGGACTGTTGTATGATGATTCCTAATGAAGCCATGGAAAAAACCCATGAGACCCCCGAATATAAAAAGGAGGGAGTTTGCAATCTTCGAGAGATCGCAAAAGACTGGTGTTTGTGCCCAATCCTGTGGATATTGTTCTGGCTGGAATCGATCCTCTACCCTTCTCAAGACATCCAAGACTTCCAAACCAGCTGGCAAACCTGCAGTACGTCGATTCTGAGACTTCGACAAAGGAGTCAAGGACCAACGTCTATTACTAAGATATTTACCAACACACGATTGAATGTAAACTCTCTCTCTCTCAGTCAGGGTCACAATCTGAATAATAAGGTTTACCCTTCTTCTATATGTTGTATAACAAGCATCCACCAAGCATCTAAACTGATGTCTGTATATAGCATTGTGAATAACCCCGATAAATAAATGGGTATTGTGAATTGTTAAATTCGTAGTAGCATACTCTTCGTCCAGTCATCTCTCAATCCATCTCCATCCCGAATCCAAGCGCCTACAAACACAACTGCTCACACACAAAAAAATGAGGAGATTCGTGCGCATCAAAGTTTCTGTGTCTGTTCTTAAAGACACAGTGGTGCCAGTCCTTACAAACTAGTCATTGCAAGTGCTGTGTCAACCCTTTAGTCCCGTGATGTCGACACATAGGAGGGTACTCCGGCATTGTCACATTAACATGTAACTGTATACTAGTCCACATATTGACATATTGGACCACTAAAACTTTGATTCAGTAATTTTATTATTGTATGCTTACAAATATAAGTGGTTTTCAAAATTTCCAAAAACTAAACTTTCTTTTTCTTAATCATGTATAGCCACTCCTCACTTAATGTTCTACCTTTTAATGACTACTCAGACTTACAACCAACTCTCTAGCATGGGGAATTCCCTTTCGCCCTGTAGTTAGTCAGTATTTACTACACAAAGCATTCAAATCCCCAAGACTACATATTTCATTTATAATTTTGTCCTTTATTGTGCACCCCATAATACAAGATGTTCCTGAAAAGAAAGAGCATGATTTCACCTGGAAGATTGAAAGAAAGGCAACAGAGTTGAAAGGATAGTAGCACTTAGGAGAAGAGGAAAGAATAAAAGTACAAAAGAAGTTCAGTGTAAAGGATGTGTTCTTGAAAGTGAATGTGACTATATTTATATGTATATGAAAGTGAATTTATATTAGAACTAGAGGGTATGGATCTGAATGTTGAATGGTTCATGAAAGTGAAAGAGCAAATAAATGAACTTTTACGATGCTGTTATAAAACTTATGAAGAAAAAAGAAAACTTACAAAGTAGATCACACTAACGAGATTCTTTTTGAAAGCTACACCCAGAACTTCTACCCCTACAAATACTTCCAATTTCTTTGCAGTCATCTCTCTTACCCAAACTGTGTATAGTTCCTGATAACCTGGAAACATTACCATCCTTTCAAAGATTCAATGATTAAAATATTAATCTGAATAACTTTTTTAAATGAATGAACTTTTTTGGTAAAACATTTTAATAATTTGCTGATTGTATTTTTGTCTTGTAATATGTAAAAAATGCAAATTAAAACAAAATTATTAAGTTGGAGTTTCCTTTAGACCTTTTCTTTATCAAGAATAAATAAAAATGATTAAGTGCCTAGCTATTGACCAATTCACTTAACAACCTAATAGTAGGAACAGAATTTGGACATTAAGAGAGGAATGCTAGTATATTATGTTTTTTTCATTTCTCATAAAGTAACAGTTAAATAATAATTTGCAAAATTTTCACTGCAATTTAGTTTTTAATTAACTTTTTTTTACACTGTTCAATAATATATATTAATAATAATTTCTGTTTACAATTTTGGTTTAAACTGTTTCACTTAACTTTTATTAAAAATTAATTTATAAACTTTAAATATTGTAAAATGTTTTCCTTAGGCAATTATACCTTTAGAATGCATTATTTTATAATACAAACTTAATTAAGCACCAGTTAGTTAATAAAATATTAATAAAAATGTACCAGTTTGCTCATTAGCAGCCAAATTCTGTTCAAACTCTATTCGTAACATTTCATATTCCTTTCTAACTTGAGCTAAGGTATCCTCTAACTGTATCACTTCTGTTCGAAGTTTTTTCTGTACAGCTAATTCTTCACTCTATATAACAATAAACATGATTAATAAATATTTAACAAAATTTAAACATTCCACAATTTTATTAAGATAATTCAATCTACAAAAATCAATTAAAAAGTAATATTCAAATTTGAAGAAAAAAATAATAAAAAAATATGCATGTGCTTTGGTACATTGAACATGCTTTAAAATCCATTTCTGTATCCTGATAAAATGAGCCAATGTTTTAAGATGCAATGTCCACTAAGACAGTTTTTCTTTTTGATATTTAAAATTTACATCATTTCATTCATGCATGAAAGTGCTAGTATATACAACTTCATATTAAATAGGTTGAACAAAAATGCAAGTGCTTGGTTTTTGTTCAACCTATTAATATACATTTATTAGGAAATAAAATTTCTCTTCAGAATGAATATTTTCATTTCCATTCTTCATAACCTAATTGAAATTATTTTTTTTATATTTATTTATTTTTATAAAAATAAAAAACAAGTCAAAACTAGTTTTTATTTTATAATAATAGAATACCAAACATATCACAAAACTTACTTTGTTATTCAACAAGTAAATGTAATGTGCAATAAACAGTTTTTACCTTTCATAACTACAGATTTGTATATGAAAGAAATATGTTGAGAATTAACTTTGAATGGGTTTTAGCCATAACTAACTGAAGGCTACTGTTCATTTTCTAATTGACATTCTAAAATTAATCACATAAATGTAAAATCTCATTAAATTCATAAATAAATAAATGCATAAAATGAGTTAGAAGTTTCTTCCATTTAATTTTAAATATGAAAGACATTTTCTATTAAAATTATACATATACAAAAGAAAATGTGACAGGTGTCTTTACAGTGTTTAATAAAATAATAAAGGTCACATTCTTCAAGTAGTCTGAAAAATGTTCAATTAAATTTTATCATAAAGAAAATTTTTAATAACCAAAGTAATTTTATTATTTAAATATATATTAAAAATAGAAGTATGCATAAACGTTGTAATAATTAGTGCAATATTAAAATTCAATTTTGTCTGAAATCTTTCAAAGTTAAAACTATACCAATACAGTAGAGCCTCGATTATCCAACTCAATTGGGGACTCAGGTTGGTCGGATAACTGAAAAATCGGATAACCGAAAAGAATAAAAAAAATACATTATTAATAAAGTATATTAGTATATCCCATGTAATTAGAATATTAGTATATCACTATTAACCAACTTCGTGTTGAATTTCCATTGATGTTAAGCCTAACAATTTTTTTTTAAAATAATAATCGTCGCTATTGTATTGTTAAAAATTATTTTTAAATTATTTTATTGCTCACAAAACAAACAACCATTCATAATTAGAAAATTAAGTCTTGTTTAAATACTGGCCTCCCTTCTATGGTCGAGCCGTTGATGCCAGCTAAAACACGCAAAAATTTAACAAAAATAATATTAAAGTAGCCAAGACATAACCAAATATTGTAGTGCCACATCAGTAGCGGACATTTGAAATTTGCCGACTAGAACGGTCGGTTAACCGATGTCACGGTTAATCGGGGGTCGGATAATCGATGCTCTATTGTATTTGTAAAGGTCAAAATACTATTACTATTTACTGTAAATTAATTCTAAAGAATTTTTAAAAATTGTTAGAAGAATGTGTATAAAAAAAAGTATATTTAAATACTTTATCAGAAATTATTTAAAATACACAAGCGCTTTATTTTAAAAGAGAAAATTACACTAGTTTCTTACAATACAATGATTCCAAGAAGATAAATTATCATATTTATTAGCTTATTATTTATTAATCAATTAATCATTAAGTTAAACTTCATATAAATTAACACTGCTTTTTTGGTAATGAATTTTATGTGATGTACTACATCCAATTTCAATAATAAATATCATCATAAAATATAACTGATAATCCAACTTGGTACATTACTCAATGGTATGCTTAAATTCTAAAAGGAGATACTTACCTCCATTTGTTCAATCTGACGAAGATGAATATTTTTACTCGTCGATAATAAAGTACGAGATTCCTCCAGCTGTGTTTTCAACTGCATACTTTCATTATACAAAACAGAAAACTGTGACTGCAAGCATTTGTATTCAGTAGTTTCTACAACAACACATTCAGGCAAACACTGAATCTGAAATATTAAACAAATATAATAAAATGATTACTTTTATAACATGTTTGTTATACTGCTGTAATGTCAAATTTAGAATTATATTTATTTCCATAAATCCATTAATTAAATTACTAAATAAATCAATCTGCAATTTAACTTTGTATATAAAGGAGCATTAATAAACTATACTAAAAATTTCCACAAAAATACAATATTTAAAACAGCTGAATACATCTCACTAAAATGTAGTATAATTATTATTTATAAAATCTTTTAAATGTTTTTTATAGATTTTAATAATTAGCTTGATATTCATAATTTTTTACTTCATATAGTATAGTCTTGTTTTACTTAAAACTTGTAAAACAAGAATTTACTTTATGAAGTTATACTGTTACAATAATTGTTTTTTAGCCCTTGGTATTAAATTAAATATCTACAAATGTGAGGCAGATAATAGTAAGGCTTATCATTGGTGTGAAAAGCCTTTACTATTATCTGCCTCACGTTTGTAGATATTTTATTCAAGTAATACTGTGTAAAATAAACTTCCAAATAAATTTCTGCTCCAGTCCAAGTAATCCCAAAGATTGCCTAGATAACATTATGCAACTATGTACAATTGACAGAAAAACATCAAAATGTATTTAAAATGTCTTACTTATGTTTTTAGCATAATAAACACCATTTTAATCTGATGTTTCTGAATACAAAAGTAAAATTTTATAATGCCATATCAAGTAAACTAGTTGAAGAAAAATACATGAAATCCAGAATATGCACCACAGTGTAGAGCATGCACTGTATTCAGAATTTCATTATTTGGAAAAGCATGGTTTGCTAACTTAAGAATCAGATTTAATGACACTGAGTGTTACACATCAATGCTGTTTTCTTTCACAAAAACATATTAATGAGAAACTGCAGGTGTTTTTTTCTTTTTTTGTTTTAATTCTCTAAACATGGTCATATGTCATTAAAATATCAAGTCTTTCCTTAATCTGCAATAAATTTGACATCATGCATTACCTGCATAAGATTTTCAAATTGAGTTGCTTCTGTTGGAGCTGTTTTTCTCAACTTCGCCCTCATCCTCAAAAATTGGAACAGTAATAATGGATAATAATCTGCATAATTCGAAGTTTAGACTATTTACAAAAGGTCAAATTAACTTTTGAGTCCATCTTTATCCTTTATACACTACCACAGAAGTAACAGTCTTAAAAAATTGCTTTGACCTTTTGTAAATAGTCTAAACTTCGAATTATGAAGAAAATACATCCTGAGTTATCACAAAAATTGATAATAATCTGGTTGAAGCTCCTCCATATCATCATCCATTACTACTGTTGTGTGCTTATCAATTAAGTCCATAATGTCCACCTCCTCTAAAAACTCAAATCCCATGTCACTCCCATGCCACAGAAATAAAAGAATTGACCACATGCTCCTGGTCAATTCTTTTATTTCTGAAATGATTTTCTCACACTATACATCTAAAATGGTTTGTAGTTCATCTGAAGCAACATTCTTCACAGTCAAGCCACAAGTCCTTCCAACAGGCAGTTACAACTTTATTTTTAGTGTCCTCCATCACCTGATTTACTAGTAAAAGACTGTCAGGTATGGTAAAGCCTTTCCCAAACTACATAATGCCAAGATTATCACTGTCCAAGGTCCCAACAATGGAAACCACACAGCTTCTTATGTAGCTTAATTTAAGAAATTTGATTATCCCAATTAAATGGCTGGCTATGGAAAGTAGTAAAGTACAGTGTCGTTTATCCAAAACATCAGTTATCCGAAAGAATTAAAGTCGGCAAATTTNACAATTATTAACTAATGTTATACACTCAGTTTAAATTACAATAGAGCGTCGTTTATCCGGAAGTCGGTTATCCGGAAGCATTCCATTAGGCAAATTTAAATTTTCGCTAGTGTCGTGGCGCTGCAATCTTTGGCTATATCTTGGTCTACTCCAATATTTTTTTGTTGATGTGTGTGTTTTAGCTGGCAGCACTGGCACTTTTGTGTGGTGTTTTTCTGAGGACTGTGTGTCATGCTGAATCGAACGTTTTTGATACTAGATTAACTTCTAAAGTATAATTTATTTTTGTTTTTATTTTTTTCAATATATTTATTTTGTTTGTGCAAAATAAAGAAATAATTTTTAACGATACAATAGCCACGATTATTATTTTAAAAAGTTTACATTAGGCTTAACATCGACGAAAATTCAACGCAAAGCGACACGCAACGGAGAAAAATTTCAACATGGGATAGGTTAATATATTTTTTTGTACATAATCCGAACAACCCCAGTCCCCAACTGATTCGGATAAATGATGCTCTACTGTATTAAGAAGCAAATAAACAGCCTCTACTTTTTTCTTGGCATTACTTGGATGTCCTGAGGAATTTAGTCCAAGGATGACTTTAAATAAAAACCCCCCTTTTCTTCCAGGTATACAAATGAAGTACTGATGAAATGAGATTGGCATGAGGCAGGTCGACAGTACTCTCACCATTAATCTGAAATTCCACCAGTTGAAATCGGTTGGCCTTAAGAATGCTAAATTACCACTCTAGAACACAGATGCAAAACTGAAAAAGTCTTTGAGAGATATGACTGGAGGGAGGAGTCTCATGATACCATAGAACAGACAGATGCTAATCACCTGCAAATGGCATGGAAAGAACTTGTTGTACTGATGACTTTTGTGTAGAATTCCAAATTTTAAATTAGCTCATTGTATTTTAATTGATTAAAACGATTGATTTGAACAGGTTCCTGCAAGAAACTTTTATAAAACTAATGCATTTCTTTAAATTTTTATAAATGTGGTTCAGGTAGAAAGCCTGAATGGATGGCTGGGGACACTTGAGGAGACGTTAAATTTAGGATCAAAAGTGAGAGAAGGGTGTGGAGTGTTGTAATGAAGTTGAAAGATGTCAACGTTGGGTGCAAAGTTAGAGAATGTTGCAAAGGACTGTGAGGAAGTTACAGTTAGACTTAATGAAAGTTGTAAGCAGTGAATAAAATATTTTGTTGGAGTTTCATTGTGTTAGTTAGAAAAACTTTCCACATAAAAGTAATAAATTTCTTTAAATCAATGATGTAAATTATATAATTTACATCATTGATTTAAAGAAATTTCAAATTTTAAAGAAATATCAAAGTAAATAATAAAGTAAATTAATATGATGTAAATTATATAATTTACATCATATTAATTTACTTTATTATTTACTTTGATATTTTTAATGGATTCAGTTTCAGTATAAAGCTAACTAGTATTGCTTATAAAAAGTAACAAATTGTAATTGTGACATTGTCACAATGCCAGGCTGCAGTTTTTAATCACATTTTTAATTTATTTAATTTAAAATATATGCCCTCCACCTCAAATTGGTAGTGTCTTGTTCCTGTCTATCATACTTTTCCTTTAACAATAGAGTTGTGCCAATCATCTATCTTACACCTCTCAAGAGAAAATTTTTGAATTGAAACAACATGACTTTCAGTTTGCATAAGAAGTTCATATATAGTTAATTGGCACCTCCTGCTCTTAAGGTTTCCATATTTGGTCTCGTCTTTCATCTATCCAACTCCATTCTCAAGATTAAGGAAAGACAGATGGACAGACAATGGTGAGAATTTATAGGACTACAGTTTTTCCAAATTGCAGCCCAATAAAAACAGTGTTATAAAGCAATATTAAAAGTTGAAGCTGCAAGTTGGCAATCTCTAAGTTTATATGTTTTGTCAAGAAAACTGTTTAAAAATTAATTGTTACCAATTAGATAATTAGATTATCAGATAATCTAATGAGATAATATAGTTAAATATAAAATATCTTATAAACTGGATAATATTTTATTATTACAATTCTCTTCAAAAGTACATAAGACTACTCACATCCATCTTTAATTTTTCCACTAATTTTAAGGTCTCTTTATGATCTGCATTTAAAGTTTCTAATTCCATTAATCTATTTGCAGATAATTCTTTCTGTTCTTCTAATTCCCTTTGAAGTTCTTCCAGCTAAGCCACAATTATTAATTTTTTTTTTATTTATCTTAAATATTAAATAACAAGATATTTATAATTTGAAACTTACTTTTACTTGAGATAATGCACTAATCTGAGGTCTTCCATCTCCACCTTGTGGAAGATTGTATGATTTTAATTTCTGTAAAGCTTCTGCTAGATGACAATCTAATTTCTCTTCTCGATTTCTTGTTTTACTTAATTCATATTCTAAATCTTCTATTCTATTTTTTAATTCAGCATTGGCAGTTTCTGTAGCTGTTAATTTATCTTGTGATTCAGCAAACTATAAATAAAAAATTAGTTTTTATTAATTTTCCTTAAAAATAATTAAACAGAACCAACCATATTTTATTCTTACCAGAAAAATTTTTACAATGTTATTATTAAATGAAACTTTGTAAGTTTTGAAACTCAAAGTTTTGTACACTTTGAGCACACAGAAATATTGTTATAAGTCAAAAGAAGAAAAATGTTTTTCTTCCATCATCCAATTCTAGTTTTATTGAGTGAATTTTCTGTGTTGTTCAATTAAGTATATTAAAAAAAATAATTGATATATTATACTTTTAATAAAATTTTTATGTCACAATGTTGTAAAATAAATAAAATCTGTATGTTAAAAATCAACAAATCCTGTAATTATTAATGAATTATATTATATTTTAACTCTAAAATAAATAACATTTCTCAACTTCAATGAAATTAATCAACAAGGTAAGATTTTACTTTCACATATTATCTCAAATTATTAATATTTTTTAACTGGCAAAACAAAATATAATTATCATCAATAGATTAATGAAATAAAATCAAATTCTAACTAATAAAAAATTATCATTACAGGGAAGTTTGTAAGAAATCAAGAAAAAATTTTCATAATTAATTAATTCCAATTTAAAATAGTAGTAACATGTAAAGTGAATTAAATTTTCATTCAAAATTTAGTTTTTAATTAACTTGTATTGAAATCCATTATTACAGGTATTTATCCCAAATATAGGAATTTAATAATTTATGCAAATTTTCATCATGAATTCAATGAGAATTCAATTTACAAATATGTATGAAATGCATATAACAACTTAATTAAGAATATTTTAAACACAATTACAGTAGAGCCTCGAAAACTCAGCCTAATGTGGACCGAAGGGTGGCCGAGTTTGTGAAAATGCCGGGTTATCGAGAATGGGGTTTAAAAAAATAAGTACGAGTGTTTCCTCAGAAAATACTGTACTGTACTTGTATGTATTGTTTACTTGAGAATACAACAGAGAATAAACTGCCCAAATACCCTTAAACAAAGGAAAAGTATGTCTTTTATGAAGGCATAGAGCCTTTACTACATGAAAATGAAAATTAATGAATACACTGTGTACAGTAATTTACCTGATAAGACAGACCTCAGAAAAATACTTTGAGGCATAAAGCTGTCTTTATCATGAAAATTAATTAACTAAGGATTTTTTTGTCCTGCCAGGGTGTGGCCGAGTTATCCAGAGTGCCAGGTTATCGAGTGCCGAATTTTCGAGGCTCTACTGTATCATCATTTATATTTAATACTTTAAAAAGTTCATATATCTTTACTACCATACAGTGTATGTGTTTGCTATAATCCATTTATCAAAATTAAAATAATTTAAAATTTTTTATTATTATTTATGTTGAATCAAGAATTAAAGTAACAAAAATTCCAAGATGAAATGTGCTAAGTTATAATTTATTACATTTTAATATTTTAATTAATTAAAATCAGTCAATAGATAGAATATCTGAGAAACTAAAAAAATTCAAAATTTGTATAAATTAATTACAAAAAATAGTGTTTTTGCATAATTTATAAACTGATTTGAAGTTGAAGAGAATAATAGAATGTTATTTGAAAATATTGTAAGAAACAGCTAGTTTTCTATGAAAAATATCTATAAAATAATTAATTACTCTATATATATAGCAATAGCATTATATACTTAATTAAATTAAAATTTATGATTGTTTTCATAAAACTTAAAACTAAGCATGATTACATACCACAGAGATTAAGATATTTAAAAATTAGGAATTACTTTGGAATTCTTACTTTTAGACTGAAGCGATGTTGATTTTCATGAAGGCCTGTAACTAAAGAATGAAGATTTCGATTTTCTGTTTGTAATTCAATATTTGCTTGCCGTACAGCTTCATCAAGACTAGGAGGTTCTTCTTCTATCAAAATAAAATTTAATTTAAAGTTTAAAATTAAATTCTCAAATATAAAAATAACAATGTTACAAGTTATGTATTAATTTAAACATTTGTTTAATTAAGAAATTTTTTCTAAAATAGAAAAGTAAACTATTGTTATATTTAAATTTAATATAAATTAGAATTATTTTGTATTAAATCCCCAAATGGAGGTATCTCAGTAAGGAAATCCTTTTAATACAGTAAAAATTATTTTAAAACATCTTCAGCCTCTTAAGTCATATTTTAACTCAGTGATTAAAATATATTCAAACAGCATTCAAAATATAAACCATTTTAGATCACATTACTGAAGGAACTCTTGATGTTAATTAAAACAATTTTGATAATCAAAATAGCAAAATTATTATTTTGTTTATAAATATCACATTCATTCAAAATTTATTAATACATCAAATTAAACAATGACCAAATTTAAAATTAGTTCTGATTTTAGTATATAGAATTATATAGAAAGTATACATGATGTTAGCAATGAATCTCAATTTCCTTATTACAATGATAAGATTTCTTTACACTAAAACTAATTCATATGTTTACTTTCCTAGCTTTTATAATATAATATTGTTATCATTTCACATTTGATTCTCTGCTTTGGAATCTCAACATTTTGAGACCCCTGAATCTAAAAATCAAAAAACTGATACCCAAGATATGTATGTGCACATGGATGTTGGCATCTATTTCATTTAATATCTTCAGATGAGATAAAGATTAAATAAAATTTGGCATGATAACTTGTATACAAGAGACACTGATGCTAATAAATTTTGGTGGTTAAAGGTTGAGGGGTGGGAACATAGAGAGGGCTCTCGTGAGTCCACTGAGGTCAGACTTAATGAAAATGTTACTTGTTATTGGCATTTACAAATATTTTTTAAAAATTCATCTCTACCCTCAAAATTAATTTTTGCTATTTTATAATAATTTTTTTTAATAAAATCTCATAACAGATGCCATCATACACAATTTTAACTTCATGCTGAAGTATCTTTGTTTCTTAAACAAGTAATTTATATTTTTCTATTTTATGGTAACTATTCTCCACTACAGGGTATTTTAAAAGAGAAATGATAGATACGCATATCTAACAATTCAATTCTTACAAATCAAAATTTACTTAAATTTATGTTATCATCAGATCATAAAACAGGTTAATAACTTATTTTCTAGATACCAAGTTTATCTTCATACATCATCTTATTATATTGACATTTTCCAATAGACAAAGCACAAACAACATACAAACAGAAAATTCTGAATGACCATAAAGAAGGCCATTGTAAATTTATTCTGTAAATTACATATAGAGTACACATACCATATGGAGATTCTTTATCTATAATTCTGACTGACTACATTAAATAAATATATGAAAACAGAAAAATTGTATCAAAACTAATTTTGTGAATTTTATTAAATTTTCTACTAAAGAATATGTTTATATAAATCCTTATAATATATATATATACTCACACACACATATACATTGATATATTTATTACATACATATAATGAATGTGTGGTGATTGTTATAGAACAATTATTTATTTCTTTTTTGTAGTTAATATGAATATTGGAAGGCCATACATAATCCAAGGAGATGGATGGATCGTAACTGTATAGTGGCCATCAGAGCAGACAAATCTAGAAGCATTGTACTAATAAATTAGGATTTTTGGATTTATGCAAAATTTCCACAGATAAATAAAAATAAATACAGTCAAGTTTCAATTAACTGATATCTAAGCAGATCTCAGTTAACTGGAAGTCGACTTCATATTATTCAAAGTAAACTGTAAAAAATATTTTATAAAAAAGGACAAGGAAATAATTAATAATACACTTCATTTCACACATTCAAGCCAGCTATGGTACTTGAAAATGGTTCTTTAAGTTTCAATAAATTCATTCCAGTGGTTTCTCATGACAATGCAAATTTCAGAAAGTTTAACTGTAATTTTATTTTAACAAATACAGTTGTAAATGAAATTAAAAGTTAAATTTGTTATTTTACAATTTAAAAGTCATTTGTTCAATAATAGGTCTAACCCAAAAACAGAATAAGAACAAGTAATAATGCATTTACACCAATATATTCAAATCCAATTTATTTAATAATTTACCAAATATTTAGTGTTCATCCAAGTCCCCAATTATCCAAGGTACTTTTGCAATCCATATTACCCCCAGTTAATCAAGATTTTAAGGAAATTTAAGCATAATTAAGTATTTAAGCATAATTTAATTTAAGATTAAGTATTTAAGCATAATTTTTTTTCCTTATATGCAAAGAGGTGGTGGTATTTTTAAATCATTACATCAGTATAAAAAATTATAGTATTTATGTTTTCATTTAATGATCATAATAATTTCCAGATCAGATAACTATTATTAATTAGAATGTCACTCAAGAAAATTTTACTAAACATAATCTAGAGACTGTGAAAAGTAAAATGCAAAGTAATTTCAATTATTATAACAGAAGTGAAAGAAAATTAAATAAAACTTCACTTAAGATATTAAATAATTAATTTGTTACAGAACTAAAACAATTTCAAATACTCAAATAACTTAAAAAATGTTTAAATAGTTGAAGTAACAAATAAAATTTCCTGTTATTAAAGAATTGTGATGAAACTTATATTACCTCCATCTGATTGCTCTCCTTTCAATGCTAACATGATTTTATGATTTCTTTGAACAATACGATCAAATGCTTGTAACATTTTAGCAACTGCTCTTGTAGATACTTGCACTCGCTGAGCTAATTTTTCTTCTAGTTCTTCTCTATCCCATTGACTTAGAAGAGCTAAAAAGGAGGTGGTAGCTTCATTTTCATCTAAAAATAAACAAAGAAAAATTATTTTGCATAATAACAAAGTAATTGATTTCATTTATATTCCTAAATATAAAAATTTTATATTCATCAATTTGTGGAGATTTTTAGAAAAAATTATTTATTTAAAATAAAATTTTAAATTGTCCTAAAAGAAACACAAATTTAAACAAAAAAGTTTAAAAAGGAAAAGAATGATAAAATGAAATTTCAAAAAATAAACTTTATGATTTTTAAAATTATTAATATGAAACTAGAGATTAATCATTTGGAACTAGAGATAGTAAATGATACTGTGTCATATTAATTTTAATTAGAAATAATTTATTTAATCAATTAATTAAATTAAAGCATCTAGAAGAAAATATCAAATGAATGAAATTTGAATCATGAAAAAATTGAAAATTGGAGCAGTAATTCAGATGGCATTATTAATAATACCTACCTGATATGCAAAAGGTACATGTTTCAAATTCTGTTTTTAAGTAGATCTTTTTTGCTATATATACTAAGTTTAATTATTTTCTAATAATTAAATTCAATATGATATGGCAACAGTATCTATCTCTAATTCCAAATTATATAATTAAATAATTTTAAAAAATCAAAGAATTATTCCAAAAGTGTAGTGTTATATGACTTTTATTTAGATATATTTTGACTTAATATTTATTTAAAAATGTATAAGAAATACGTAACTAGATATGCTCTAGACTTAAGGGATAAACATCAATAACAGATGATATAGTAAATGCAACATTTGATGTTAATGACACTGACAATGGTATATCTTGGGGTTGTTATTAGTTAGATTAAGTTTAATTACTGCACAGAATTAATGTCATGTGATTTAGCCCTTCTAACATAATATTTTTATCATTTTTGAAACGGTATAGTTACGTTATCTAAGCTTTTCATTCAGAATATCTGAACAAAAAGTTGTACTACAGTTGTTCAAGAGCTACATGTGGCTCATAAGCTGCACTTTGGCCACCATTGGTATATATGTTCAAATTACAATCACAATGGTTCTACAATTGGAATACTTAAATATTTCAAAAAGAATTTTATTTCTAGTTTTTCATTAATCATTGAGGCTAATTCAATCCACCATCCGCCATTTCTCTTTCATTGAGTATGTAACAAGTTGATGAATATTTATTTTTATTTATTACACCTATATAAGTAATGTCATTAGGCAAGAGATTTCTAACTCTCACATAACAAGGCAAAATAAAAAGCAAACAATTATTCTGCAAAACAATATGAAATATGAACATTATATAAAAAGGAACAAAAGAGGACCATAAAAACTTGACAAAAACCAATAAAAAATAAAATACATAAAAATAAAAAGGAATTAAGAATATAAATATAAAAACTTTTTCAATAATGCTTAAAAACAATAAAATAAAAAAATATAAGATCTTCAAGCCCAACTAAAGATAAGACAGGATAAAAAAATTAGCACTTAAACATTAAGTCTGAAATCAGGCAGAGCAATGCATGATGAGTTGCAAGCTGTTCTTAGCTGGGATAGAGAGAATTTACTGGATTATTATTTTAAAAATTTTAAAAACAAAATACAGTCAAAATATAAAATATGATTGACTAAAAGAAGGTAAACCAAATCACATACAATCTGCTTCTTCTGAATCAATGGTAAGCAGATGGCTTAATTTATTGAAAAGTACACAGCCTTTGTGAAGTTCAGATTGTACCTTCTGTGAAAGAAAGGTTGTGGCTGACGTCCAAACAGAGAAACAGTAATCAATAACAGATTGAAAGTTGACAAAAAATAATGATCTTAAAACAGATCTTGAAATTTAAAAAACAATAACAGTATAGAATGCCTATAATTTGTAAGGCTCTTGGAAATTGTGTCAATGTGGAACTTAAAAGCAAATTTTTGATCAAAGACAATTCCAAAATCATTGACAAAACTCATGTATTTTATGATGCATTGATTGATAAAATTAGAAAAGAGGGATTACATTAAAAAATACATAGCAATAGTTTTTGTAAGTTTAATTTTTAAGATTAAATGTTTTGAACGAATGAATGAATTAAAATATTAAGATTATGTTGTAAAATGTTTGTAGCCTAATTTAGAATTGATATTGTCAGCATAGACAAATATATTCAATTTTAAGCATGGTATATATAATGAAATCATAATAAGTAATGAAGAAATGACTACTGAATTCAGATCCTTGAGAAATACCATAAATTAAATTAAACTCACAAAAACAAAAATCTTTGAGTTTAACTTTGAAAAAACAAAGCAAAAAATAATTGTTGAGCCATGTGATAAAGAATAAATATCAGAGTAATTAGACAAAATATCTAGTAGCAGAGATGGAATCACAGAGTCAAAGCCTTCAGAAATATCAATGTATAATATGCATGTAGACTTCTTGTCCTAGAGATTATTTATTATTGAAGACTGAGTTTCAACAACATTGGAAACTGTTGATTTATGACAAACAGTACAATGTTGAAAAGACTTTCATCTTGAGTGTGTTTTAGAAATTGTTGCAGTACTATAACCTACAATTATTTACGGATGTTTGATTATTTAATATTATATTCTCTTAAAGACCATTATGAAAAAAGTAAGAAAAAAAGACAATGAACAATCATACTTTTCTTTTCAGATTCATCTGAAGTTTCTGCATCAAATCTCTGTAATAAAATTCTGAGATCTTCATTCAGCTATTATAAAAAAAAAGTCATTTTAAATTTATTAATTACTTAAGCTAAGTTACAAGATCTTAGTTTAAAATTATAATCAATATTGATAATATACTATAAATAATTTTTATAAATCACTCATTTACAAGCTTCATTTAATACTTAAAATGAACTTTAACAAAAATTGAGTTTCTTTGGCAATTGATTTAAGCTAACATAGCTGACAGATAAGAAATAAAACATCAACCAATATTATCCATGCAAGAAATCACAAAGATCTAGATCAGATTTCAGCCTATATTGATTTTAGTGGTAGATCAATATTTCACTGTATCTGGCTAGTAGCATGTATGCTTATACACACACACACACACACACACACACACACACTTAGAATTAGAAAAAAAGTTTATCTTGATAATTATTTTTAAGGCATATCATCTGATCTAGATATAATCAAAAAAATAAATTTTATTATTACATCTAGATAAATACAAATTGGGGCTATGGAGTTCATACATTAAACCAGGGATCCCCAAAGTAATTAATATCAACTTCCAGTGGTTAAGGTATTTTCAGGGGTAAACTGAAAACAATTCATTAAAAAAATTATTAATCCAATGGAATAAACTGTTCTATGCACAAAAAGCTAGAACTTCTGTAAATAAATAATATAAAACCTTTGACACTTTTTCTAGCAGTTTCTTTAATCGAACTAACGAATTTGTTATTAATTTACATTTATTAATTAATTGTGTTTAAATTTTTTCTATTTCCATGTATATTTAATGATTATAATTTAAAAGAAATTTTGTTAAAAGAAAAGAAAAAACTTTTTTGTAAAAACAATGATGTCATCAAAACGAAAACAAATTTTCAAATATCTGATGTTCCAAATATTGTCGAACCAGAGGAAGGCCATTAAATATAGCCGAAAACATTAGTTTGATTAAAGAAATTGCTAGAAAAAGCATTAAAGGTTTTATATTACTTATGAATAAACTGTTTCTGAAAGTTCACAATGTTGTAAATCTGTACATTGTATATATGTCTTTTCTATGAAAATGGTATATGGATTACACTGGCTCACCAGATTTATTTATTTATTTATTATTAACTGTATTAGCAAAAAAAGGAGGTGGTTGGGAAAAGGTCGAGGAATCCTTGTAAACAGAAAAAGTTTGGGACTCCTCGCTAAACCCTTGAACAACTCCTCTTCAAGTCTCTAAGTCTCTGATAAAGGTTCCATATATATTAATAATGGTAAACAGTACTATTAGATATTTCATCACCAACTGAATCATCAGACTTACTTTTTAAACATAGCCTGTATTTAACTACACATTAAATGTTGCTATATTTTCATGGCTTTTTTCCTTTATTTCCCATATTTAATGATATTACAATAATAAAAATTCAAAACTCATTTTCATAGTAATATTAAGAACAGAAATCACACTGTGTTTCCACTCTGGGCCAGTTCACCTCTCCTTAGAAACCTGTTAGCTCTAGGTTCCTCATTTGGCCATCATATCAATGTTGACCTTAGTGCAGCCATCCAATTGACATAGTACAACATTTAGGTGTAGAGAAAAAATTACTCTTAAGACTAAGAGAATATCACATGGTATGAAACTACTAAAATAGTATTTACTCAAGTTTTAAGAAATCAAAACCCAAGACAGTAAAAATATACCAACTCTGATTCCATTCAAAAGTGATTTCAACTCAAATCCATGGCCTTGAATTAAATATGATACTTAAATAAACTATGGAAATTCACCTGATTCCAGTATCTATTGACAACACAAAGAACGGCTTCATCACTTGTCTGTCGTTTTTCTAATTGTTCAATTCTCTGCCGTAATTCAGATTCTTGACGCTGTCTTTGTTCCAAGCGTTCTGATAATTTTTTGTTTTGAAACTGTAGTACTTTCATGTCCATTTCTTCCTATAAGAAGAAAATTATAAAAATTTATTAATTATTTTTTATTTAAAATTTATATCTATATAATTTATCTATTAAATCTATTTTTTGATTAAAAAAATTATTTTTTTTACTCTCTTAGCTTTTATTATTTGCCTTGTATTATCTCTTTTCCCTCTTTACTATCTCACTTTATATTCCTCTTCCCTCTCATCCCTTCAACTTCACATCTTCCTTCCGTTTCATCTTTATTTGGGCTATACCTATGAGTGGAGTAGAACTCCAAATAACTTTGAATATTTTCTAAATGACTGAGAAAAAAGAACCATTGCAACATGTTGCCAATTCTTGTGTTCCAATTTATTCTGTGTGTTCTGACAATAGCATTTGTACTTCCAAAAAAGTATTTAAATCTCAACTGAGAAATTACTCTTTAATCCTTTTAACATCATTTGTTGCTTATTTAATTAAAACAATTTAGAAAAAGTTTTTAAATGCAATTTATTAATTTGCAAACTTTCTGTGTGGAAATGAGTGAATGTTTTTGTATTAATCTGAACTGACATGAAACTTTAGCCATTAAATAGTGTCAAAAGAATTTGGAAATGAAAAAATGTTTCTTCAGTTCTTTTTTCAGTTTTCCATAAAAATTTAAACTGTTACTGAGACCAATTCATCCTTACTGCAAGTGCATAACAATGTAAGTAGGCAGTGATGCAACAAGCAAACCAAACTGATTAGAAACATTCCAATTTTGCTTTTTAAACCTACTGTTTTCCTGTGTTTTGACATTTTCCCAATTCATGTCTGTAAGCTTAGCCAAGGCACTACTCTATTTTATTGTAATGTTTTTGCAGTTATTGTCATATTATTTTTATATTGCAAATTTCCCTGGAACTGCTTTAATTTCCCCTAAACCCTCTTCATGCAATTGGACATATTCTGCACTCCTGCCACAATGTGCATTGTGTAGACAGAGATAAAATATTAAAGCCAAACAATTGTGGGGACCAGGGGCCGTCAAAAGTTAGTTTACGTTAGATTAGGGTAGGATCCTGCCACCAGGTGTGTTTTGTCAGACACACCGCCAATTTAGTCAAAACCTGATAGTTAAGGCGCGAGGGTAAGAGTCACTCTGAAGTCCAGGAATGAGCCTCTCAGGAGGATGAATGCAAAGTCAAATACGAATAACATGAGTTTATTATCAAGAATTAAGTTCTGAATAACATTCTTAAAATCCGATTCAAGAAATCTGCCTATTTCTATATATAAAACGAGGGGGCTGCCTAACGGGGGTATCCGAACTACAACATACCAGGAAAAAGAGAGCCGTCTTCTCTCGTAAGTCCAGTCAGTCTCCTGATCCAGTTCTTTCTTCCCTTTTGCTTGGTCCTTCACTGATGTCTGCCAGTAAATGGCGTTCGCTTCTAGACGAAATTTCCTTGCGATTATGGCAGGATGGGTCCACTCAACTCTACTGTTGATGTCCGCCGTTGATGCCTTCCTGGTATGGGATGGTTCGTTGAGAGTCTGGAGAGGCCGGTACTTTCTACCGTTGTCTGCCAAGGAGCTCTGTCTGTGTCTGGATTTGTGCCTCTTTTATATGCTTTTCAGACGAGAGTTATGATATGGCTTACTATCGTATTAGTTTGACTTTTGAGCCGAGTCATTACAGAAGCAAAACTGTTTTCACTGACAAATCTCATCATTATTCATCGCTTGTTTTGGTTACTGTTGTGCCTTGAAACGATGTTCGATCTCTGCTATGATCGGCGGGGGGCATGAAGTGGTGTTTTTCCACTTTCTTTAAGTTTTATTCTCTTACAAATTTATTTAATTATTTAATTGTCCTCTCATCCTTTTCCTCGCATGTTGTAGATTTATTGCCGTTAATTAATATTCTCTAAATCATTATGGAAGTCCCTAAAATCGGAAAAATAGGCAAATTTCTCTTACACTTTGATCCATGTATAAACAATCTCGGTATCTTCAAGATATGGGTTCAAAAGAAAAAGAATATAAAATAAATACAATGTTTAAATACAATAAAATCTCTAACTAATTAATTAAAGTGACAACAAAGTGGCTAAACTAAGATTATTACAGATAATGTAAATACATAAATAACAAACACACACATATATATATATAGTAACAACAATTTGGTGGGAAGGAAATGGTGGTCTTCACACAATTTATCAGATTAATCTGATAGATCATTTGGCTTTAATTAAAAATCAGTTAGTGGATGTTTGACTGAAAGAAACTAATTTTCTCTTTCAACAAAAATAGTAGATACTTAAGTTAATTAATACCTTAAAATAACATTTTTTGATGACACAACATCAAATACTGTATCATCAAAAGGCATTATAAAAGTTTATCATTCATCAATACAGGACTTGTATTGATGAAGGATACTAATTTAAGTATGAAAATTATTTACATTGAGTTAATGATTCAACAACGTTTTATCTCTTAAAATTGTGTGTGTGTATGAGAGATAATCATTTTAAAATAAACGATTTCAATAAATTCCCAGCACAAAAACCTAACATGGAGATCTCATAACAAAATAAGAATGAAAATGTAAAAAATTGCATTAACTTCTTCTCACATAAAAACTTAAACACTAATATAAAAAATTTTTCACGATGTACAAATGTGTTTGCATTTTTCTGAACTTCCAGCAATATCAAGTACATTTCCAATTCTTTATAATTATTATTTTACAAATAATAAGAAAGATTGCAAAACACAATCTAATAATAACCAAATTTTTTTCTTAAAATCTGGTTAGCATGATATAATTTGCATTCACTTTATTTTCTTTCCTTCTTTCAAATAATGTGAACCTACTGTATATCTGCATTAACGACATATAAGACATCACTTAATGTCAACGTAAATAAATTTTTCCTGTTTGAATCTGCTATTCTGAAATTAAACACCACTCTGTTAGAATCACCAATAATCAAAATAATGTCTTTCTTCGTGTAGATATCTGATCACAGTACATCATGAAGACAACTAGATAACAAGCTTGAGGATAGGAAATGCCTTCATGATGTATTACAATGATCAGATGTCTGCATAAAGAATGACATTGTTTCAGCCACTACAAATTGCAAACTTCACAAAAATAACTGCAACTGAGTAGGAGTTATTTTGTGCAATCAGAATAAACATGTAATCACCAACTCCATTAGAAGAGTGTATATTTTAAATTATTATTTTAATACACAAAATATATCAAAATACATAATAAGTTTAAATTCCACTCTTGATCAATCTTTTCAATTAAGTTTAATAACTAAATGTAAATTATTAATATTAGCACAAGATAATGGTCTAACTGCCTACCTTTAATCCAAATTAATTAATATCTAATATTAGTGTTAATATCTAACTAAAAGCTAGCCCAATAAAACTTCAGCTTTAGATATTTGGTAATATTACAAGCTAATTGATTGTTAACAGATTTTGGTTGTAGTTATGTGTATTTTCAATAAATTAAAATTGTAGACTGAATAGAAATCAAGCACTTCAGGACTACAGGAGCTGAGGTATTTAATGATAAAATTTTTTCCAGACCTTTCACCTCAGCTTCAAATCCTCAGTAGGTTGAGAATCTGATGCTGAGATGAAAGGTCTTGAAAAATACTTCATCCTTAAATACCTTGGCTTCTGTAAACCTGCAAATGCCTGATTTTTGTTCATATTAAATTAAATAGGTTTACATTGAAGTCATATGTACTAGCACATTAAAATCATATATTCTTTTAACTATTAGTAAATAAAAGTTGTACCAATGTGGAAACTGGTCCAATTCTGCATGGTTCAAAATGAACTTTTTTGGATGGAGGTTGACTGGATGATGAATCTTGAGATGCAGAACGTTTAGAAGCCATTTCTGCAAAGAAAATGCATTAATATCACATTTAATTACAAATTTAAAAGTTTAATTTATAATCTATAATCTTAAATATATAGATAAAATTAGCATGATTATAAAAAAATTTTCCTAATTAAGAAGGGTAATATTTATTTATAAGATATTTTATATTAATTCATAGATAAATTTAAAAGTAACTGAAACAATTAAAGATTTTATATTAAAATTAATATATTCAATTTCTTATATTTAATGCATAATCTTTCATTTAAAAATACAAATTCTAAACTCACAACAGTTTTATCATTTACTCAATAAAACAATGACAACACAAGAATTAAACATACATTTTAGTAGTAATAATACACAATTTGTTCTTAATCTTTATCAATTTAACTATCAATGATAAACTGTTAATTTCATACAATATTTTCCTAACCTATCATCATCAGGATCATTTCAACTGTCCTTATACAATGTGCTATCATTACTACATAATAAGAAAGTAACTCAAATTCATTTGAGTTACTTTCATTCTATAACAAAACCATCATTACACTCATCTATGATAAGTTGATTACTGTAATCATCATCATTAATGATTACAATAATCAACTTTTTCCTACATTGTTATTATATAATTTAATATCATAAATACATTCAAAAGTATAACAATTTACAAGCAAGGTTTGCAAGTCAGAGGCAATGAGAGAGAGGATACAAATCTATCTTAAATATATAATAGACATATTTCATATTATTTTAAAAATTAATTTTATCAAATTTATTTACTGCATGATTTAACAGATGTTTTGTTGAATACATATGAAATTACATTCATTTACCAAACTGGCTCAAGTAAAAATATAATAGTCAAACTGATTTTAACATCATTTGTTTCTCCAAAGATGAGACTAAAATTAAATGTGATGTTAAACTGAAGAACTTCAAACAAAATTATACATAATAATGAAGTCTACACATTAGCTATGAGTTTGAAAGTTGCATAATTTGGCAATAACAATGCTGTTTGCAATGCAAAATCATACATTTAATATTTCACAGTTACTTCTGACTTCTGAGAAAAGAGATTAGAGAGCTGTCCGTCTTTTAAGCGACGTACTTAGCCCTTGGAAGTAGGAAAGAAGAGAAAGCATGAGATGTGAAGTGTGAAAAGAAAGAAAGATAGGATAGTGTGAAAGAAGGCATGGGACTCGTGGCGTCTGCATCGGCATTTTTTGAACAAAATAATACAATATATACAATTATAATACAGCTGGAGTCTTTCCAGAGTTTAAGTCCCGACAATGTTTACAATAACTTATATTTTGTAAGAAATTAGAATTGCTGATTACATAAGCCCTTGAGGGTTAACAATAATAATTGGAGCAGCGCGATTTCACAGTTACTGAAAGGTTCTGCATTCAATATTAACAAGGAAGATCTGTTCACAAGTATTCACCAGCACTTTATGAAAATGGTACTATTTAGTTTGGCACTATATCAAAGTTATATCACAGTGGATCTCAGCCCATGTTCCATAAATTTACCCCAAGTGTTCAAAAAATATATATAGTTTTTATTGCAAATTTACTCCAATATAATACAACATATTACTTTATTCATAGACAATTTCATGTTTAATATTTTATTCAATACAATAAAGATTATTATTTTATTGCTGTATTGTTTTGTGAAAATAATAAACATGGAATTGCTTCTTGATTTTTGAATGTATTGATGCTAATGATCTGCATAATAAAAAGTATATAAATGGTGTTCCACAGCATCAGAAAAATAGAGAAACACTACTATATCAACTTAGTTGTAATAAGGATTCAAGAAATGAATTTGTTCACTTGTCATGGGTCAGTTCATCAACAATAAGTGAAGAGTGCATTTTAGTTAATCTTTGCCTGCAACAAAATGAACTAACTTTTGATTCAAATAACAGAACTATCCTGTCATTTTGAGTATTAAATTTCAGAATAAATATGTTTTAGTTGTTCAAAGAAAAATTTTATTCACAACATTTGATTCTATATTCCCTTTCAACTTCATTATTTTGAGTTATAATTCAATAGTTTTTGAATTAAAAAATATCCATAAACAATAACTGTCTTTTTTCTAAATAATCCACAAAACACCCATTTTGGCATACGAAAAGGTTTTTCTTATATTATCTACTATATCTTAAATATCTACTATATTTACTTTATACATTGTTATATACAGTACATATATATTGAGTTTAGTAAAAGAATTGAATTCAGAGAGTTAACTGAGAAGCCAGAGTCAGCAGTTTGTATAGTGACTTCATAACATTGTTTTTGTATGCCTGAAAATGAACTGAGAAAACGCGAAAGTACTAGAAACTTTTAAGAAACTGTTTTTTTTTTTTTTTTATGCTACAATAAAGCAGGTACTGATGCAATTGTCATTTATCAAAAATTTGAGGTTAAGACTGGATCAAGATGAACAAAAAATTATCAGTAAATAATGAAAAGTGTAGAATTTGGCATTAAACATAGATTATGTAAATTAGATGATTTAAATAAGTCACCTGGCAAGTGCTGAAATATCTCTCAATATTTTATCCACTAGATGTCCAAAAAACTAACATGATTCCACATAAGAAAATCAAAATGCCTTACATGTAATGAAGTCCCAAACTCAAAAATACATTTTCCTCATTCAATAATTATGAAACCTGCCATGTGTGTGCTTGTGAAATTCTCTCTTAAGTTAATCTGCGCTTTGTCATTTACTAAATAATATTCTTTAAAACATTTTGCATATTTATTTTTAGATGGTTATGCATCAATAATGTTAAAATTCTGTAATTTATTAACATTTTTATTATTGAATATGAGGTTTAATCAAACAATACCCAGACTATGCACATATCTTTATGGTTAGTAAGTGGAGGGAGAACTAGTGACAATATATAGTGTGATCATCAGTTGAAAGTTGACTGCCATTGAATTTGTATTTTGTGTGCTGTAATATTCAAAATAAATTTTCAAAAAAGTTAAATTTTGAAGTACTAATCCAAGAAAATAATTTTACAATAGTACAAAATCCACAAAGTTAATATAAAAGTTATTTCAAAGATGCTATAAATTATTTCTATAATTTATTTATTTTCAATTACAATAAGAATTCTTGCCATATTAGATTTCCTTCCCCTCACTATCAGTAAAACCCTGATTAAAGTACATAAAATACAATAAATGAAGTAGAACAAACCAAAATACTAGTAGTAATTAAAAGTAAGATAATTTTTTTAGTGTAAATTTTTAATAGAATAATTATATCCTAAACCTGAAACACATTATGGATACAATTGCAAATATATGAATTAGCAATCCTTAATTTTCAAAAAAAAAACAATTCTAGCTGAGACCAAAACTGGTGACCAAATTAAGTACAGTATAGTCCAATTGTCATCTGTTATAACAAGCATATAGATATATTTTCTTAATCAGATTTGACATAATTTGGCAAATTAATTTGGTATTCTATTAATAGACTTTTTTTTTGACAAAAAAGTTTTCTATTAATTTTTCAGGAATTAAAGGAAGAAATAAACCAATTTCTGTTGACCAAGTATTTCATTAATGATGCAAAGTTCAAAGAAAATTTTTCCAAAATGAACAAATTTCAACATTACATAAATCCTCTGTTAATTATTAATATGTTTAAATTTTTTAAAAGCAAATATTGTTTACATATTACAAGAATAAATTATCATCCAGGAACAAAAACTAAAATTTGTGAACTGACAAATTCAATCTCTCTTATTCATCATTAGTCAATGGAAATACAAATGTATCTTATATGTGATATATAAAATTAAAATATTCAACATTTTCATTCCTGATTTAATTACAAGTCAGCAACAAATGACTGGTTTTATTATCCCATTAAATTAAACAATGTAATACACATATACTCAATGGGATCATAATTGTAATCAGTCTACTTTGATCTAAATCTGAAAAATAAATTTCCTAATCAAACAAATGTATTCACTTTCATTTGTCTTGTCTCTTCATTCTATTTTATTAGTACTTAATGTTTGCTGAAATTATGTGCATATATGATTTTTATTTACATATAAAATTCATAAAAATTTCAGTTCCTAGCCAAAGATGATTCATCTGTATGATCATAATACAGTTAATTCCGTTTAATTGGGCCACCAGTTAATCGGGGCAGCCACTTTATTAGGCCAAATCTCAAAAAACGGAAACCAAACTAATAATTAATACATAATTTAATTGCTTAATTGGGACAGTAGCAGAAAAGAAATTTAGCAATTTTTGATATACTTTAGTAATCTTCCGAAAATATATAGGCTAATGTCGTGTAGTCCTAACAGTTGGTAGAGACAAAGTGATTTTGTCTTTTGCTTGGTCAGTTTGATTTTTTTGGAGGGGATCAGCATAACAGGATGTATCACATGAGGATTTTGTCTGAGGCGGACCTGAATGAGAGTTACTGACCCTGCTCTGGAGTGAACTAGACAATCCCCTTAAAAGCAAAGGGACAAAGATCGCCAGACAATTTTTCGAGGTCTCTTTATTGAGTAGGAAGATAGCTGGAGTTTCCTTGAAAGGTATTGCGTGCATAATTATGTCTAGATTCAGACAGCAGCCATCCGATTGTTGAGACCAGCATCGAGCTGGCGGATTCTACCTCCAAGTAAAGGAAACTGTGCTCAAAGGAAGACCATAAAATGACTTTTGGACGAACTAAATCAAATATCTATCATTGTGAGTCTGGAAAATTTATAGTACAAATATTTTCTGTATTTTGGTTTAATAAAGCATTAAAATAGGTACCTAATTATTATTTTTTACCTACTTATTTATTTACCTATGTATTACATATTTTATTGTACAATTTATTATTAGTTCGTTTAATTGGGGCAGCCGCTTAATTGGGCCAAAATGGATTAGTCCCAATGTGTCCCAATTAAGTGGAATTTACTGTATATATAAATATTTTGTAAATATATGGACAAAGATATCATTCTACAAACATATTGAAAAATCATAATAATACTAGAACTTCTTATGTATTTAAAACTACAGATAGCCAATAGAGTTGATTTTCAGTTTTAACTTTTTATTCTTGATCTCAATGATTTCAAGAACTAATCATAATGCTTTCAAAATTCAACTATATAAACAAAGTAAACAGATTATCAAATCCTATATTTGGATCTTTTTATTTAGACATGCATTTTATTGAAGTTAAACTAAAAAATAAATTTATTTATTTTAAATACATGAAGTCTTGGCTTAGGATAATTTTTTCTTCTTAAGCTAAAATTATATGATCTATCTGACTGCCTGTGACAGTTTAACTCTGGCATTGTGTGTCACTGTCATATACTCCTACTCTGTGTTACAATGTATATAATACAGCAGATTTGCTTTATAGCAACCTTTCAGAGACCTGTCAAAAGTGGATGTTATATTAAATTTTCCAATTTTTAGTAGGAAGATGCCAATGACATGATACAATTTAATGCATATGTAAGAAAAATAGTCCAAAGTTAACTATCCTTTAAAATTATATTATTTAAGATAATTTTAAAATTTAATTTAAAAAAATGAAGAAAAATATCATCACATATATTTGTTTTTAATAATTAAATGACAGTTTACTCAGAAAAACAAAAAAATAACTCAAAAACAATCAAATGATGGTTACTATATTCTACAAATGTACTGTACCGTACATGAGCTTTATCATTACAGTATAGTGTTGATGATATGAAAAAGTCATTAATCAAAATCAATTTCAGAGTATTAATTCCAGAAATTATGAAGTTTTTACATAACAACTGTCAGTAATCTTCTACAGGACTACTAATGATATGTCTCATTATTATTTTTACTGTGTATTTTTTATTTTGAATTCAAAGATTCATCAGTATCTACATTGCAGATTGTAATGAAAGACTAGTGCTTGTTTTTAATAAATTTGAGTATTTTTTTCTGTTATTTATCATCATTTGTATGTACTAAAATTCTATATCTTACCATTTTTTTGCTATTGTACTAGAATTAAAATTAATCTTTTTATTCTTTCCCTACCAAGAGCAAATGATTATCCAAAAGTGCCCTGTCCCATTTGCGATAACTGATACTTTACTTTATTGGAATTACTGTGTCTAGGAAGAAAATGTAACCAATTTTCATACTTATGTATTGTAATTTTTCCATTTAATTCATTATGAAAATTATATTTACCTGTATAGTATTTTCATTTTTACGTACAATAAATATAATTTTGATTTAATTTTTTTAAATATTAAAGCATATTTTCACATAAGAGAACAGTTCATTTCTACTTCCATATTTGTTGTTTTAATATACAAAATGTTACTCTACCAAGATCTCAATCATTTATGGGATTGATATATTGACAGTAAAACGCATTATGGTTACAGAAGATTGACCAAAACCTTCTGTATTGATTGTAATATATTGTGGCAAATCACTAAATCAAAGGTTGCTATAAAGGGAGAATTTGCTATAATTTTTTACATAAACAATATTAGCATTAAATAGAACATGCTCAGCAAAAGATTAGACAATAACCAAACACCTTTTTTCATTGCCGAGAAACTTTATTTAAAACAAACATTTAAATAAACTTTCAGTGGGTTATTGTTTGAACAATATTAGCTTTTAAATAAGTAAATACAGTAATACTTTAAAAATTTAATAAAAGATAATTGATGGTAAGTGAAAAAAATACCACATTTTAAAATAATATGGAACAAATCAATAAACATTTTTAAAAATATGCAGATTGAGTTCAAATTGAATGATGTAATACACTACAAAATGTGATTAAAAATTAAACTTTGACACTTCATAGGACCTAAAATATTTGACATTTCATATATTTCAGATTTTTCTGTAATGAATTGGACATTCACTTTCAACTCTATCATTTAATTTTCTGAACAAAGTGAACTTGCAAATTCCCAGAGATGATTCCAGAAGTAAAAAATTTCAAATAATGAATTAATAAAATTATTATAAATTAAAATAAAAATTTTAATAATTTTATTATTATATATTAAATTTTCAAATTTGGCAAGTCAAACTGGAGTCAACATTTAAATATATACATGGTAGGTGCCAAAAGTTTCTGGCTTAACTTTGTTTTAGATGTTATAGATATAAAACAGTGATGTCATTTTTCAATGTAGTCGCCATGCAGTTCAACACATCTTGGAATTTGAGTTTTGGAAACTGATAATAATCACTAGGAACCAGGTTAGAGCTGCAAGGTGGATGGTCAAACTCCTCAAACCCACACTCCTTCATAGCAGTCTTGACAAAGGCAGTCGTGTGCACTATTGCATTATCCTGCATGAGGTGAACATGATGCAAATTAATGCAACAAATCTAACTAAAATGAACGTTTCCAAGAGACTTATGCAATATGGTGGGAAAAACTGTTTTATTAGTACACATACAGATGGTGCTATCTGATACTATCATCATTTTATTCCTATCATGTCTGAAATATAATTAGGCTGAAAACTTTTGATGCTTACCTCAAACATTTCTAAAACTATAGAAATTAATTTTTCAAAGTTGTGTACAGGCACAATGAAGTGACGTTTTTCTCAACACTGGGCTAGTTGAATCTTTTATTTACTAACTAAATAAAAGATTCAACTAGCCCAGTGTTGAGAAAAATGTCACTTCATTGTGCCTGTACACAATAAGCAAATACAACACGGTTTCGACAACATCAATAAATCTCCTTGTTTAGTTTCCTGTAATTTACTTTTTTTTCCTTTACCATAATTGCAGGTCAGATGATGTAGAAAAATGGCAACCTTAACTTTTCTACATGTGAAGATACTACAATTAACTCACTCATTTAATTTCTATAAGTGCATATTTGAAAATACTGAAGTTTAATTTGAGGTTAGAATACATTCGTATTCTAAATAAAATCTTTTTGGCTCCAATATTTCAGTCTCAGTTTTTCTTCTATGAAACCATTCATTCCATATGAAATTAAAATAAACTAAAATTTTAAATTAATAACTGATATTATCTTGATTAAAAATATTGTCTACCTTTTCACCAATTTCTGTACGATCACCAGCTGGTAACATTTCTAAATCAGATTTAAGAGCACAGGCTTCAAGAATTTTGTTATACTTATTTTCTTTATAGTGTTTTGTGAATAAAATGTTGTTTCTTAATGTGGTATTTTGAATCCATGCCTGCTGAGGCACATAAGCAAGGGTACCCTTAAAAATAAATCAAATTCAAATATAAAAACCAATTTTAAAAATGACCTTAAAATTAAATGAGTTAAAATATAAATTACCTTAATATTGACTCGACCTTTTAGTTTCTCCATTTCTCCAAGAAGTGCTGAGAGAAAAGATGATTTTCCAGATCCTACTTGTCCAACAATGGCCACAAGTGATCCAGATTTGATTTGTATAGAAATATCTTTTAACATTGGCTTAGAATCCTCCCAACTAAATGCAGCATCTTCTATGACAATTGGATTATCTACATTGAAGTTAATGTTGTAAAAACATAAATTCTTATCATAAAATATTCATCATGATTTAATTCAAATAAAATCTAAATAAACCTTCATGCTCATCATGACCAATGGCATCACGATCCAATTCTTTACATTGAAGAAAACGATTGACTCTTCTTAAAGACACAATAAACTATAATAATCAATTATAATTTAATATAATTCAATTTATTACAGAAAAAATTAATACTTAAAATAATCACCATTGCTGTAAAAGTTATTAACATGGGAAGAAACGCTAAAGGTACACGAAGAATATTAAATAATGTTAATGAAACAAATGCTCGATTTGCATCCAAAACATTTTCAGAATTTACAAAAACAAACATTGTAAAACTTGCCAAACCAACCTAAAATAAAATTTGTTTATTTTATTATTATTCTATTCAAATAACTTTAATTAAAAAAAAATAAATAAAACATACCAGAAATGGTGCACTGGTAAAGAAAAACATTATAAAAGAATTTAAATATGACTGTGTTTTAAGAACTTTGATTTCTCTATTTCGAATATCCATAACACTTTTTTGAAATGACTCTTCCCATGCATACAATTTCAATATTTTTATTCCAGTTAATATTTCATTCATTAGATTTATACGTTTATCTTTATCTTTCATCAAACGTAACTGAAAATGAAACAATGTATTTAAAATAGTACAATAATTAATCAGAATCATTCATTTTTAAAAGATTAGCGAGGTTGAGGCTGAAGTTTTAAATGTGAAAACGTGTACGTCAAACGTTCAGCGCCGCTTTCCTGTAAGCCTAGAAGTTTGACTATGGTGTTTGGAATGTCGAGCATGATTCCACTGACTATCCAAACACCATTGTCAAACTTCTAGGCTTACAGGAAAGTGGTGCTGAATGTCTGACGCACACGTTTCCGCGTTTAAAACTTCGGCCTCAACCTTGCTATTATTTAACAAAAACACAACAATGGAAAAACAATTATTAATTATTTGAAAATTGTTATTGTAATTTTTAGAAGACATTTTACAAAAATTTTATTCTATAGGAATCAAGATTATTATTTCCATTACAATTTAATTTATATATTTATTCATTAAATAATAGATAAAAATTAGCATTCCTAAGAACAATATTTCAGTTTTAAGTTTTTAAAATTATTTAAAAATCTTTTGGAATATTTTTTATAATCTACCATATTTTTATTTTTTAAATTTAAAATTTAGATTATTTTAATATTATTTATTTCCATGTAAAAGTACATAACAACAACACAATAATTTTTGATGATTGATTTAAACATCAGTTATGAAATAAACTCTTGGAAATTATATTATTTATTTATTGTTTATTCATAACAATTATCTATATTCAAATTATTTATTTATATTTAGCAATTTATTTATTATTTTGCAAATAAAAAAATTGCTCTACACTAAAATGAAAAACTTATATTAAAGAATTCAGTTGTATTAAATATTTCCTCATAATTTCAAAACAGAATAATAATGTTAGAAAAGTTTGTTAATTGTTATTTTACAAAATATTTTTTATAAAATAATTTATAAAAACAAATACTTTAAATATTCTGTAAAATATTACAATTTAAATATCTATAGTTTAATAAATTCCCCAAAAAATAATAAAATTTAATTAAAGAATGTATCAAACTAAAGATATTTGCAATTATATTAATCATAATACTTAGATAATCAAAACTGTAATAAGTGTAATCTGATAAATGGAAAATGTGATTGTTAAATTTTACTAATTAATTTATTTAATATTGAGATTTCTAGTTTTTATTATTTTTTTAACTAGCAGATTTACACACACAGAAAGAGGAAAAGAAAAATAATATTTAAGGGCACTAAGTGTAATGAACAAAAACAAAAGATGTGCAGCATGATACTGCACACCACTTTTATTATTTGTATATAATCACTTCATTCAACATTTAATATATGAAAGTCGATAAAGTACAAACTATATAATTTTGAAAACAATAAAAAATAGTAGAATTCTTAACCAATCTGACAATTAGTGTGCTATAAAAGAGAAATTAGTATTCAGTCATGTATAAAATCAGTATTTGAAAATATAATCACAAATACTTAGAGGAAAAAAGTATGAATATATTTCTTCAATTATAATTATTATATTAAAATACATAAATTATATCATATAATTATGTTTATAATTATATAATATGCTGTAAATTGTGTTGTGACAGTCACTTTCCATGTATTATATGTAAATATATTTAGTTACAGCTATTATTTGTAGATATTTCTAGAACTTTCTCTTTTATTTTCTGGTTTATTGTCTAGAGCAGGGGTGGCCAAAACGTGGCGCATGCGCCAAACTTGGTGCATTGGACGATTACAAGTGGCGCTTCAGTCAGTTCTGAGCAACATTGCCAGATTTGGCTTCTTTGCAATTATGAATATTACATAGAAAATTAATTTTTTATAGTCTATCTTGGCAAGTTCATTTGTTACACAATTCATTGCAATCAACTTTACAGATAAAATGAGTGTTCTCCACATAGTAAATTACAGTGCATGCATGTATGTTTATTTTCGATCAGTTTACAGGTGTCTAAATGACAGTGCTAACGTCCCACGACAGTGCTACCGTCCGGACAGTCCAGGAATCGGATTAGACTGCTAACATCTTCTCCCAAGTAGTTCCTGCGACACCTGTTGAGCTTTTTTTTCCCCCTGTATGATACACAATACATTCGTGTTCATGTACACCACTAATATCATATAGAACTATTTTATACGGGTAACTACACTACAACCGCATTTTTCATTGCTTGTGCTGTGGCAAAACTGAATTTTCGTCTTATAAATTGAAATACCTAATTAAGGGGTGGCCGAAATTTTTCTCTGCCCCGGGCAACTAACACCCACAGTACACCACTGCGCATCTAAACTCGTCTATCAAAAAATTGGCGCATGGTATGCAAAAGATTGGCCACCCCTGGTTTAGAGAAGTAATAAACCCAGTGGGAGTGAACAGGAGATATATCAGGTGGACAGAAGAAAATGGATACATTTTTGCATGTGTTGAAGGACAATTGAGAAGATTACTTTCAACAATTGAAAGGAATGAGAATATTGTCAAGTTGTAAGTAATGCTGAAAAATAGATTGTATGAAGCTTTGCCAATGAAAAAAAAAGGATTGCCCAACATCATACCATTCTTGTTCTGCAATATGAAAGAATATGACATTGCCACAATCCACTACTTTGTGCTTTGAGGTACTTCTCCCACATAACCGTTCTCATTTCTCTTCCCTCCCTGTTATTCCAGTCTCCTATATTAAAATACAGTGTATTTTAGGTTAAGATATTGTGGGTTTATGCTCTAAATGTTTGTCATGATTATTTACATTGAGTTAAAATTTTGTTTAGTTGGCAACCTTGAATTGATCCCTTTGTCAACCCTAACATAATATATCTCACAGTGTATTTTTATATACTAAAATAATAATAAAATTTTTTGAACAATAAATATGAAGGTGATATACTTTTGTTTAGTATTTATAACTTATCCACTTTAACTTAAAATTTATCTAAAGATAATGTAATTAAATTTGCAATTAATTGCATTTTTTCTGATTAATACTTCATTGTCTTTTTGTCTGCATTTAAAGCTACAGTTTAAAGTGACGAACAAAACTGAAACTTGATTAACCTGAAAATCTAAACATCATGCTTTTAATAAACACATTTATTAAAGGCATTTATATTTCATAAGTCTGCATCAGGTTTACAATATAGATTGGAAACATGTCAAAAATGTTTGTGTTCTTAATAAATGTGTTTGCTGGATATGCATGATAGTGTTCAGATTTTCAGATTAAACAACAGTTCTTTTAATAAGGTTTAATTCTATTATATTATAATATAAACTGTTAAACAATTTATTAGGTAATAAAATACTTAAATTAATTACAATAATTTTAAATTTAATAATAAATAATGAACTTCAAATCTAAAAGAATAATACTTTATATAGCAAAAGATGGAAATGTTTATGTGAAATACAGTAGAAGTTTATTAATCTGACACCCAATAATCCAAAATGTTTGTTAATCCAGCACCTTCTGGGAGTGCAGTTCAGTAAACAATATGTTGTCTATTTAAATTGTGCTAAACAAATATTACTTCATTAGAACTGACACCTATTTTTGTTTAAGTAACTAGAGTGAATGATCTATTTCCTTTCCCATAGGTCAATGCAAGGACAGTACACCTAAAAATGGGTTTTTCATACTTAGACATGTATGGCTTTTGTGAATCTTATGTTTGGAAAATAAATATTATAATTGTGAGAATGAGGAGATTATATCCTTTCATTCTCACAATTACATTTATAGATAAAGATTAATAAAACATAAGCTGGAACATAACATAAGAACCATCTTTAATAGAACAATATACAGTGTAAAATAATTGACATAAATATTAATTTGGATACCAGTGATGAAGACTCACCCAGTAATAGTTAACCAAGTGGTCTTTGATGAAATCATGCAAAACAAACAGATTACCAAGATTTTTGCTAACACCCAAAATCAAGGCTCAATATCAGAAGTACTTCTCTTCCACCTTAGAATCTATGTTAGAAATAACATGTTTCTTATTGATTTACAGAGAAAATCTTGGCCAGACAAAGAAATTATAAAATCCCAAAATGTAAAATCAAAATTGTTAATAACAAATTTGCTCTTGTAGGGAGGAAATAGGGAAAAGAAGGTTGGACACACTAATCCTCAGGAATAGCAACAACAAGATACAGAACCAAAGAAAAAACAATATACCATTAAACAGCATGCATGCTAATTTCATTTCAACTTTTTCCAAGTTTTTGGGAACTAAGAAACTTTCTTCAGTCCAATCCAATTTCAAACTATGTACTCCTTTCTTCACAATGTTCAAATCTTGACAAAATTGTCTAAAAAAATATCTCAAAATACTTCAGTTACATTTTCCTTTCAAAGAACGAAAAGCACCCATTCTGTTTCTATTCAGGATCTTGAAAAAATTCTAAAAGTCAAAGTCACTCTAATCACACATTTTCTTTTAAAGTTTTGTTGTAAGTTTTATATCTAAAAGAATCAATGTGTAATCCATATAACATTAACAACTTCTACACCAACCATTTGAGGTCACTATTTGCCAACTAATAACGTGAAAGAGAGACAGTCAAGACAAAAGACTTGAAATAGACAGGAGGAAGGATAAACAAGTGAATCCAAACTAAAACAAAAACAAATCCAATATTGCTATAAAGCCATACGAACTCAAATCATTGGAAATGTTGATTTTATGCAATAATGTGTTTATTTATGTTTTTGCAGGTTTTTAATCAATCTTAACACAGTATAGTTATGTACTGTATCATCTTCAGACTGATTAAAGAACATATGTACACAAATCAGAAACATATAGCAGCATGCACTGGTACAAAATGAACAGCAAAGTCTACAACATTCAGATTTCATATAACTTATCAAATTTTATAAAAAAATACAAGAAGTCCAATATTCTGGTACTACTCTTGTCTCAGATTAACAAACTTCCTCTGTATTATTTTACTTTATGTACTGTATATTATTTACAATTTTTAATCATAACTATAAACATCCAATTATAATTTTAAAAAGAAACCAAAGAAATATTATTAAAATTTCCAAATTTACCTGTAATTGTTTAAGCTTCGCAGTTATCACACCATTGATAGGAATGAATAATATCATTACAGCTAAACCACCAAGTGTTGATATTCCAAGTTGTTGCCACAACAAATAAATTGCAATTCCTATTTGTAATGGTGTGGACCATAATAAATTTACTAACTGAATATAATCCATCATTCTTTGTGTATCTACTGCCATTAGATTAACAATTTCTCCAACAGTGAAATCTCTTTTAGCAACACTAGATAATATTAATGACTAAAAAAATTGTGGTTAATTAAAATATAATAATTACTGTAAAATAAAAATATTTAATTTGCTTATATATACACAACATTACTAATTACTTTTTTATAAATTGCAGATATAACACAGGATCGAATTCTCATTGCTACAGTATAGACTTTAAATTCATACTGGCTGTTAAAAAATGATTCAAACATTGAAGAAAAAAACATTATTGCAGCATAAACAAAACCTCTCCAATAAGGCTCATTTCCTCCAACAAATGCAATAAGCATACTGCAAGAATTAAAGAGAGAAATTTTACTCTACAATCTACTTTATTATAAAATTAAATATTTATTAAATACTAAATAATAAATAAAACATCATAAAATAATAACAACAAATAAATAAAAATTAAAATCACAAAAATTTAACAGCATATATTCAATTATCCAATGCTTATGACTGGGTTACAATTTTAAAATTACAGACCTATACATTCTTGCTGTCATGCATTGTCTGTTGCCCATCTGTCCTTTAATCTCAGAAACAGAATTAGATAAATAAAAATCATGACCAGGTACATAAAAATTAGGAGCTGAAGGTCCTTATTAACAAAATATGAACTTCCAGTCTGAACTGGAAACCACATGATTTCAATTCAAAACTTTCTCAAGAAAGAAGTTAGCTATTTGACTGGCTTTACTCAGTTGTTATCAGGAAAAGTATTATNTTGTTTATTTTAAACAATCCGGATAATCGAAAATCCGGATAATGGAGGTCCGGATAATGGAAGTTCTACTGTACTATATTTAAGGACAATTATTATATTTTAATCTTATCGCTGCTTTGTGTTCCTTAATTCTTAACTCTGTCCTACCTGTTTCACCTATATAATCTTTTGGGTTTTGAATTACAATTAATTTTATATACAACACCTGTTTTTTCAATTTATCAACACTAGTTTTATATTTTTTTTTTCCTTTCATTATAAACATTATGTGAAATTTTATTGGTCAAAGATGGGGCCAAAACTATATTGTCCTTTTTTAGGATTTTACTACAATTGTTATAAATACTTTTAATATAGGGCTAAAGGCTGTAAGATAGTCTACTGGAATTCTTGTGATTTTTCGGATTAAAGAGACATATATATGTATGAACAAATAAACAGCTACCATAACAGATATTTGATAAAAAAAATTTTCAGCACACTTAAACAGTGTATTTTTTGGATTGTATTTAGGCCAGACTTTAATCTTTAAACTAAAATATTTTGTTTTATAGATTAAAATCTAGCCTAGAGCCTAGAAGAATTTGTCATTTAAATATTTAATTATAATACTGTATTCATTTTTTAACTATAAGATGTTTTATTTTTAATTTAGGCAATTATCTGGGATGAACAGTTAACAGGACCATTTGGTCTCATTGCAGAATATGTCTTGTTACAGGTTAGTATTATTCTATTTTACAAATTAAATTTTTAAATATCAGATATAGACTCTCACTTAAATTCAAAATTTCCAGCAAAACACCCAAATTCAACATTCAAATGTTTGCCTTTGCAAAAATGCACAAACTATGACAACACTTGCATCCTGTGATCAATAAAGCTAGATTCCCAATGTTTTTGTTGCAAGATCAGATCCATCATATGCTAAAGCGCCACCTTCAATCATATATATATATACGATCTTTGATTCAGGTGCACTTTTATCCAAACTTACTGCGATTAATTTAAGTGGGAAGGAGTATCTTATGCTGTTCAATTTTGTATCCATGTTTCCATCTGTTCATTTAGAACCATGTTTTTGTGCTTTAAGAGATTTCTTTCTAAGCACTACCCCTGATACTCAATCTTTCCACTTTGATATTAGAACAGAACACCTGTTGTGCTATTCCTCATGTTTTTTACTTTGATAAGTGTACCTACATACAAAAAAGGTTGGTACCTATAGATAGCCCCATTTCAGGTGATCTTTGTGAACTGGTTGTGTGAGAATTGGAGGAACGGTCCTTAGTAAACTTTGAACATAATATCCTCATTTATACCCTATACATTGATGACATTTTGATTATATGGAGAAATAGGCTGGATGTTGAAGATGTATTAAAAGTGTTCAATAATAAAAACTACGGATTAACACTAAAATTAGATCAAGAAAGCCACAAGGACATTAATTTCTTGGACATCAAGATACAGGTAGCGGATAATAAGTTCAACACCACAGTGTACCGCAAACCCACTTACATTCCCCCCTATTCATACTGGCCAACTCTGCTGACCCTTAGTGATATAAGGTGTCCACATTCCATACACTTGTGGCAAGAGCCCACTCACATTGTATGCAGCTCTTAGATACTAACAATGAGCTAGAACAACCAAAACATATTGTATCAAAGCATGGGTATAGCCACTCATTTATCAACAATATAATGTCCACATATCAGGCCATGTCAATCAACACCAGTACTAATGTTAATAACACAGAAGAGAAACGAGCAGTCCTAAGCTATGAACCATCCCTCCATCACATATACAGGAGGATTGTCAAGGATTTAAACATATGCATAGCATACAAAAAGAAACCCACCATGTTCTGCTTTTGTCTAACACGAAAGATGGCACTGAGGACGCAAGAGCACTTGGAGGTTACTACAGGATGATAGGTTCAACAGGACATTAACATACATTGGTTCCACATACAGATCATTACAAGCCCGGTTACGAGATCACAAGTATGACGTTACAAAAGGAAACATCAACACTGCTCTGGCCCAGTATGCCACAGATCTGGAAATTTCCCTGTTATGGGATGAGGCAACAGACAACACATAAGAGCATTAGAGGCCACAGAAATCTACAGGATTGACATAAGAGGAGCATGCATCAACACAGATTATATTCCCATACCAAATGCATGGAAGTATTATTTAGACTCTTAAAGGAATATATATTTCTTACTATACGTCACAGCCATTAAAAAAATTTTTTTTTAAATTACATATAGAATGCAGCTACATTCTATAAATAGAACAGTTATTTTCATTTGACATTTCCTGATGAAGGCCAATAAAGAAGTGGCTGAAAACTTTTGAATGTTAAATTTGGGTGTTTTGCTGGAAATTTTGCATTTAGGTGAGAGTCTATATATATCATTCCAGTTTACTGTTGTGGTTTTTAAACATCAGTTATTCTTTAATTAGAATGTCTGTAGATAATATCAATATTGAACTGTCTGAATGTTTTAATCAAGTGACAGCAAAGTAGAATCAGCAAATAGTTCAGATGATTTTTGTTCAATTAGAAACTGGTGTGAAATAATATCAGATAATCCTGCTCTTCTGCCATTTTCATTTATGAGAAATTCTGGGTGCATGTTTCTTTCAGAAGTGACAGATATTTTGATATCTTAGAACACTTCTGGCTGTTTTTAGATGAAAATAATAATTGATATTATTGTTACTGAAATGAATAGATATGCCAAAAATCAAGAAGGAAGTAGTTCTAATCCCCGGATACCTGTCATGGAAAATGATATTGTTTTATTTTTGACAATAAATATAATTGAAGGTATAATTAGAAAACCGGATGAAAGGATGTACTGGTCTATGGATGGGTTATTTTCCACTCCTATTTTGCCAAAACTGCTCTCTCAAAGATGATTTTTAGCTATTTGAAAAAACTTGCACTTCTGTAATAATGATGAATATTATCCACAGACCCATCCCAAGAAAAATTAAATAAAATTTAGTCAATTTTTAAAAATTTAAATGAAAAATTTTTGAAATTATATATACCAGAAAAGAATATTGCAGTGGATGAAAGTTTAATGCTATTTAAAGGCCATTTTTACTGGAAACAGTACATCCCCTCAAAAGATCTCATTTTGATATAAAATTTTACATGTTATGCAAATCATCATCTGGATACATGCACTCAACCTCAATTTATATAGGTAGAGGAACTCTGTTGAATGACAAATATAAAAATATACCTACTACACTGCAAATTGTTTTATCCTTAATGGTTACTTTATTGGAATAAGGCTACTTAATAATTTTTATACGTCATCACAGTTTAGCCAATTATCTTATTTCTTGCAAAATCAATATACTGTAAGGTCTCTTTTTATGTGGATTATTTTTATGCGATTTTGAAGTTGTGCGGTTTGTATTTCATCCAAAAATTTCTTGGACAAACATACATATAGGCTTGTTTAGGAAGCCCGCGTATAGACAGTCTCCAAAAATCGTGGAACTCTCAAAGCTCACTCCATTTGTTCCACTGACATATAACGTTTATGGATGTAAAGGACAGCTAGATCTACCTTAATCGCTTTAGTTCCTAGCAATTTTTGATATAAATGTAATTAAACATAAAAAATACTTAAAACTGAAAAAAACG